ACATGTGCAAACATTTGAATGTTAGTAGCATTAAAAATGAGTCTTTCTGTAGGAAACTGTGCATTTTAATAATGAAATGGAGATCTTTTTTAAAGGTTAAAACCATTTAATCTTATGTCTTATAGGGTTTATACTGAGTACAATATTGCATAACTGTAATAATTCAACTGTAAACCTAAAAATTTACAGCCAATTTTGAAAGAGATGCGTCTTGGCTCAGGAAATTGTTATTGAATATATCAATGCTGTTGTAATGAAATGCTTCTTCTGAGTATGTGGTTATTAAATAAATAAGTAAAAAAAAATAAAAAACCCCCTATTGTTATTCACCAGTTAAATGCTTAGAAAAGGTTGTGCAGTAGGTAAGCTGTAAATGGATGTACAAGAGTAACTTCTTTGTATAACTTGGTATAGTGTTTGACTCATTCTGGGTACCACAACTGTCTCTCAGAGTGAATTATGCTTGGTAATTGCTCATGTGCTATGCGGTGGTCACTGATGAGGCCTGGGAAAGGATAGTCTGATTCTCACGATCCACAATGTCCTTTGGCTTGACCAAGAGGGACATGATGAATATCAAGTTTTCGATGAATATGAATTAAAATAGAAGACTGAGGCTGTCCCAGGAGAGTAATACTATGTGAGGCACCTCCCCTGGTGATCAGAAAAGCCAGGAAATAGTTGAAAGAAAGGAAGAAAGAAGGGGAGAAAAGAAAAAAAAAGTCTCTATGCACTCTTTTAGAGACTTCTCTCCTTCCCTGTCCCCATGCCTCAACCTTACCTGGAGTTTCTGCCTCTACCAGCAAGGTGGTTGAATTCACCACCCCATTTTCACCACAGGAAAACATGACTGTAGCCACATCTGTTTTTCTTGTAGATACAGCACAGACAGAAGTCTCAGGTCTTTAATGATTCTTCAGTTATACAAGTCAGGTGGAGTTGATATCATATGTAATACCTCCTGGGACCCAATTCCAGACCTGCTAGTTAGACAAAATGGGGCACTTGTCCAACGACCAGCTGTTGCCCCTGGTTTGTCGTCCCCTGAGTCCCATCCCTGTTCTAATATCTCCATTCAGAGTGACCAGGGCTAGGATGTATGGAGACATTGTTCTTCATTTTCTCCTGGGCTTTAGGTTGATATCACCATCACCACCACCGCCACCACCACCACTACCATTATCATCATCGTCATCATCTCTTATGCTGACCAGGACTTGTATGAAGGCCAGAATTACTAATCAGAACTGAGTCCTCATCGATGAAATACACATGCTCCAGAAAATAACTAACAAGCAATAATAAAATAGATCAGACAGTACAAATATTTTTGAGTGCCATGCAAAGGAGAGAGCATTTTTACTTTCTGTGACCCTGGGAATTAGAAATGATAGTAACATGTAGCTCTATATTGGGCACAGGTACTATGTATGGCTTTAACCATTTATTTACTGAGACTGACAGTATAGTTTAGTAGTAGATCACTTGCATAGCATGGGCAAAGTCACGGGCCTGAGCGTATATGTTTGTCTATATATCTCTCTATATATCATACAAAAGAGTAAATACTGTATGCTGCTTTGCCCTTTGTGTGAATGGGATTATAGTTTTTTATTCTTTTTTTTTTTTGTCTTTTTGTGGCAAGGTCTCCCTGTAGTCCCAGCTGGGCTGGAACTCACCTGCCTCTGCCTCCTGATCGCTGGGATAAAAGGTGTGCGCCACCACACCTGGCTCAATTCTTCTATTGATTATTTTGTTAGACATTCTTTTTGGTTCATTAGTGTGGGCTCATGCTGCTGAAGGGTATTAGTTACTTTGATTTTATCTTTATGAAAAGCTTAAGGTTAATATATGAAGTAATGTATTTCATTATGGTTGCCTCAGATAGATCAGCAATTCATCATTACAAACCATGTATGTCTGATGAATTAAAGCATTCAGAACTTTAGAATTCAGGTATACTTACAAAGTGTTTTTGAAACAAGGCCTTACAATGTATTCCAGGCTGGCCTGGAACTCGCTATATAAGCTAGGCTGACCTCAGTCTCATGCCAATCCTCCACCTCAGCTTTCCTAGTGCTGGGGTTACAGGCATCATGCCTGGCTGGGGTTTGGAATGATGTCCTTGTATGTCATCCAGGATCCTTTCTGAAGATTCTGGAGCCACACTCCTAATAAAACACACTATTCTCTACACAGGTTAAAAGAATATTTATACTGGTCCAAATAATAGTGACTGTCAATAGCCTTGTATATGCCAGATCATAACGTGCTACTGGACAACTTCGCTAAAAACCCTGGTAGTTTTTTTTTTTTCTATTATGATGTCTTTCTAAATAACAGAAAAGTAAATAATCTGGTGGGTGTTGGTGTGGAGTAGTTATCTCTTTTGGCACATTAAGAATTAAGTGGTGAAGTATAGCAAATACACCAAGCACAACACATCACCCCAAAATTTTTAGAAACAAATCACCAGAATAGCTTTTCCCAGATGTAAAAGAGAATCTAGTCAGCATGAAGAAACTTTGTGCATTGTGCAAGCATCCTGTTTTCCTCCTTGAAGTTAGTCACTTTCTTCCTTCTCGTATTTAAAAAATAATTTATTTATATAATCACTTAAAAAAAGACTTTTGTCAGGCATCACCATGCCTGCACACCTTTAATCTCACCTTTAATCATCACCACCGTGCACACCTTTAATCTCAGCACTTGGGAGGCAGAGGCAGGTGGAGCTCTGTGAGTTTGAAGCCAGCCTGATCTGTGAGTTCCAGGCCAGCTGGGGTACAGGGACACCCTGTCTCAAAAAGACCAAAAAACAGTCTTTTAAAAAGGCTTATTTTAAATTTTGATTTATGTGTATGTCTTTGTGTCTACATGAACGTATGTATACATATGTGGGTGCGGGTGCCGGCAAAAGCCAGAAGAGAGTGTGGGATCTCCTAGAGCTGGAGTTACAGGTGGTTGTGAGCTGCCCAGTGTGAGTGCTTGGAACAGAACTCCTGCAAGTGTTCTTAACTATGGAGGCATCTCACCAGTCTTTGTTTTTCACTATTTTTAATTATGTGTATGTGCATGTCTGTGTGTAGATATATGCATGTGATTGCAGGTGCCCACAGAGGCCAGAAGCATAGGACCCTCTGGAGCTGTAGTTTTAGGCAGTTGTGAGCTGCCGGACCTGGGCACTGGGAATTGGATTTAGGTTCTTTGCAGGAGCAGTACCTGCTCTTAACCTCTGGTCATGAATTGCTTCCTACTGAAAAAGCTTTAAGTCTAACCAGAGCTGTTGGCTACACCCAAAATATATGCACCATTATCGCACCATTGGAGACAGCTTGATGGGCTGGCCATTGTTGTCATTCGAAGGCTTTACATTTGGGTAAGACTACTCATTGCTTTTCTCCCTTGGTGTCTTGCTTCGCATCTTGCAGTACTATGACAGTTAGCTAGTCCTCAGGGAGGAGGCGTCCAGGTTGGCTCCAGCTTAATTCCTCCTAGTTTTGTGTCTGGAATGTGGTGTCTTCAGCAACAGGATTTTACCTTCAAGTTCTGAGAGGCAGCCAAGAGCAATGGCAATACCTTTTTGATTTAGGAGTCTCTTGGACTCCCCTGACCAACAACTCAAAAGGAGGTTTCCCTTGTCTCTTTGGTGCTGAGATTTTCGTTAGTCTATGCCTCTTGGGGGGAGCATTATCATCTTGTGTGGAATAGCTACATTTAAACTACATAGATATAGGTATATGTATATACACAACATGTGTTATGTATTTTTTTAAAGTAAGCTTATAAAATAATATGTTTCCCTATGGATTTTTCAGACCTTCTTACTGTTACTCATCTCTCCTCTCTCTGTAATACCCACCTTCCCTCTTCCCTAGTAAAAATCATTTAAGCATTGTAAATATGTCCTTTGTTGACTGTGTGTAGAGCAGTATCTTATCTATCTTTTTGGTTTGAATCTTAATTCTTTTTAAAGAGATTACAAAAATATTTTATTTATTATTTTTATTTTATACATATGAGTGTAATGGCTGCATGTAGGTAGGTGCACCCATGTTATGCAATGCCTGTGGAGGTCAGAAGAGGGCATTGGATCCCCTGGGACTGGAGTTACTGATGGTTGTTAGTTGCCTCGTGGGTGCTGGGAATCGAATCTGAGTCCTCTGCAAAGCACCCAGTGCTCTTAACCGCTGAGCTGTCTCTCCAGCCCCTTTACAGAAAAATTTATCTGCATACCTGTGTTTATTATAGCACTGTTCACAATATCCAAATGATGGACTCAGTCAAGATAACAGTCAGCAGATGACTGGATAAAGGATATCTACTGTATGTACAGGATGAAGTAACTCCAGCAATAATGAAAAACAAAATGTCATTTGTAGGAAACTGTATAGAATTCAAGATTATCATGCTCAGTGAAAGAAGCCTGACCCAGAAAGCATTCTTTCACATGTGGCATCTGAGATGCGTTTTCCTTTTCTTTGGGATTGTCTGTAAGGGATTGAGTGAGAGACTGTCAGCAGGGAGCTCACTCTTACTCTCCCCACCTCTGTTATTGAAAACTTTGAAGAAAACATCCTGATGCAGATCTGCAGGATTTAAATGTTTTCCAACCTTAAAAAATTTGTATTTCTGAGCTGGGCGTGGTGGCAACATGCCTTTAATCCCAGCACTTGGATTAAACTTTATATTTCTGGTAACTGGGCTAGAGATGTCTTCCAGTTTTTCAGAAAGCTTCTGAGGCTTTTTGTGGTCAGGCATTTCCGATCTCTCCTTCAAGACAGAGACTCCTTTTAGTCTCCTAGACACCTGTCATCAGTCTGGATGGAGGGTATCTTTAAATCCCCCAGATTTCATGTGATCTGAAAGAGCAAAGAGAGGAATGCTGGGAAAGGTTTGAGCAGTGATGGGGGCAAGGGGTGGGAGAAGGGAGGGGTAGGAAGTAGGTTAACCAAAGCTAAGGATATGTGAAGAATCCTTACAAAACTCCACTAGCTTTTAAGCTAATTAAAATACAATTTAGGAGAAAAGGAGTTTGAACAGAGGTGATGCATGTTTGTTTTCTTTAGGAAATCCTTCTTTATTGTGTTCAAGAATATATTTTCCTGTAATTTCTTTAAAAATTTATTGCATTTCCAGAAACTCTCCAGTTACTCTTGGCAACAATGGGAAATGAAGGGGAAACGATTCGATCCAAGATCACCCAGACAATGGTTTTGAAGGACAAATCGTTCTTCTCTGTCTACAAGTTTCTTGTCTTGAAGTTAGCCTGCTTCTAGGCGCATCATCTTGTTCATCTGGGTCAGTTTCTTGAGGGAAGGAATCGGCTCAACATGAATCCTGGGCTATGATTGTCTCTATCTCCTACCTCTAAATAATAAATCCACTTCCTATAAAAATTAAGACATTGCGGCTGGGCGTGGTGGTGCACGCCTTTAATCCCAGCACTCGGGAGGCAGAGGCAGGCAGATCTTTGTGAGTTCAAGGCCATCCTGGTCTACATAGTGAGTTCCAGGACAGCTGGAGCTACAAGGAGACCCTGTCTCAAAAAGACAAAAAAAAATTATGATATTGCTTGTTGGGATTGAAGAAACGGCCCAGCTGTTAAGAGCACTGGCTGTTCTTACAGATGACCCAAGTTTGGTTCCTATCACCCACACAGTGGCTAACAACTATATGTAAATCCAGTTTCAGGGGGTCTTATACCCTCTTCTGGCCTCCATGGGCAGTGCATGCATGTGGTGTACTTACATACATGAAGGCAATACACACATACACATAAGATTTAAAAAAAATTGATTTTGGTATATAGTGTGGTACAGTAGTAATCTGTTTATCATTTTATATTTCACATACATTATAATCATGCATATCTAGACTTTTGGATTACAATTATATGAAAATATCATCTATGAGTAAAATGAAGTTTTATTTCTTTTTAGTACTTTCATCTTTCATTTATTTTCTTATTTCACTCGATGCAAACCCAAGAAAAATGTGAAATAGTTGTAGTGACAGCTGGTATTGTATTTTCTTCCCCATTCAGACAGAGAAAGTTTAAATTTCTCATCATTACATATAATATATGACATATGTTTGGAAAAAAGTACATTTTTCATGTTTGACAGCATGAACATTTAACAAAACAACATCAGTAGGATCTTGTGTAGGCCCCTGATCTTCCTAGTTACAGGTTTTGACTGTGTTTACAGTACAAGGCATGAATTACTTTCTGTAGAGCAGGGCTCAAATCCAATCAAGAGAGTAATTGGTTACCCCACAAACAGTCTTGCCATTATTGCACTGTAAGCACCTCTTGTCTTTCTGGCAGGTTGGTATTGTAGCATGCAGGGTCCAGGGCTTGGTAAGACCACTGAGGTTTTTCCATACCCCCAGCAGCTAGCAGAGCACCTTCCAGCACTATGGAAGCTCATAGCCCTTCCTCCTCCATGGTTGGCTGTTGGCAGGCCCATTCTTTTCTTTAAATATTTTATTTATATTTTTATTTTATGTGCATGAGTGTATTGCCTGCATGTATGTAAGTGCACCTGTGTCATGCAATGCCCTCAGAGGTCAGAAGTGTTAGATCCCCTGGAACTGGAGTTACAGGTGGTTGTTAGTCACCATGTGGGTGCTGGAAACTAAACCCAGGTCCTCTGCAAGAGCAGCCAATGCTCTTAACCACTGAGCCATCTCTCCAGTCCTCAGGCCCATTCTTGTACAGGCTCAGTGTAGCCAAGCATAGTTGCACGAGTTCATGATTGGAATGACTGTATCATGGCCGGAAGATGGTATTTTGTAGCCTCCCCTAAATGACTAGTGGCCTCTGATAAGTTCTGGTAAATAGAGTCACTGCCAGCAGTTGTGTAACCGCTGATTTTTAATTTGGTTAATTAAAATTTGGTTCACCCTATTCCATTCCCGCCTTCTCCTGTCTCTATGCCCCTCTCTCCACCCCCAGGATTTCCACTCTCTATTTTCATATTGCCTACCATTCTCCTACATTATGGGATCTCTACTGATAGCCTCTTTCTAGTTTCCTGGTTTCTGCAGATACTCAAGCTAAACATAACAAGCTAGAAGTTTGAAATTAGGATCCACATATGGTACAGAATGTGCAACATTTGACCTTCTGGGTTTGGGTTTCCTGTCTCAGTATAATTTTTTCCAGTTCTTGCAGATTTTATAATTTCATTTTGCTTTACAGCTGAATATGTTCAATTGTGTGTATGTACCACATTTTTATTATCCATTAATCAGCTGATGGACATCTGTATTAATTCCATTTCCTAGATGTTGTGAATATCAATGAACATGTGAACAGCAATGGACTTGGATGAGCGAGTGTCTTTAGAGTAGAAGCAGAGTCATTTGAGTATATTCCCAGATGTGATATAGCTGGATTATGTGGTAGTTCTATTTCTAGTTTTATGAGAAACCTCTGTACTGATTTCCATAGCTGCTGTACCAGTTTGCATTTCTACCCACAGTAGAAAGGGATGTCTCTTTTCTTATACCCTTACCAGCATTTGCTGTCATTTGATTTCTTGATGATGACCATTCTGGCTGTAGCGAAACAGAAACTCAGTGAAGTTTTAATTTGCATTTCTTTGATGGTTAATGTTGTTTATTAGCAATCTTTATTCTTCTTTCAAGGGCTTTGTTTAGATCTATAGCCTGTTTTTGGATTGGATTTTCTTGATGCTTTGTTTCTTTAAGCTCATTGTATATTCTAGATATTAATCCTCTCTAAAATGCATAGATGGTGGAGATTTTTCCCCTATTCCGTGAACTTTCCTTCACTCGTCTTGTTTTTGGCGACTTTAAAAATCATAATTGGGGAGATCAATTTAGAAAGCATTTCAAAGATTCTGGGCTTCTGGTCTGAGGAAGCACTCTCTAGCGAGTACAGCATTTTCCAAAGTCAAAGAGGCTCCACAAAGCTCCCTTCATGTCCCTGTTCCTCAGGCTGTAGATGAAAGGATTTAGCATGGGGGTGACCATAGTGTATACCACAGAGACAGCCACTCCAATGACTGTCAGATGAGAGCCACAGGTGGAGAAGACTTTGTGCTTCCCCCCAGCAGAGGGGATCCTGAGGATGGTGTGCATGATGTGGCCATAAGAGACCAGAACGCAGGTGAGAGGGACCACACCTGAGAGGGCAGCTTCGGCAAACATCATGAGCTGAAAGGTACGGGTGTCTGAGCAGGCGAGCTTGAGGAGTGGGAGAAGATCACAGAAAAAGTGTGGGATGGAATGGGATGCACAGAAGGAGACTCGCGCCATCTGGAGTGTGAGGGAAAAGGCCAGGATGTTGGAGCAGAGCCAGGATGTGGCTACCAGCAGCAGGCATCGTTGGGGACCCATGATTGTGGCGTAGTGTAGAGGAAGGCAGATGGCCACATAGCGATCATAGGCCATCACAGCCAGCAGGAAGTCATCCAGCAGGGCCAATGCCATGAAGAAGTACATCTGCAGAAGGCACCCTGTGTGTGAGATGGTGTGATTCTGTGTGTGGATGTTGGTCAGCACCTTGGGGACAATGGTGCAGGTGAAGCAGGTGTCAATGAAGGACAGGTTGGCCAGGAAGAAGTACATGGGTGTGTGGAGGTGGTGGTCAGAGCCAATGGCCAGGATGATGAGCAGATTCCCCAGCAGAGTGACCAGGTACATGCTCAGGAAGATCCCGAATAGGAGAGGCTTTTGCTGTGGGTGTTCAGAGAAGCCCAGGAACAGGAAGTCAGAGTTGATGGTTTGGTTTCTAGTTTCCTTCTGAAGAAGAAAATTTGTATGGAGTTTTCATTATATGAAGGGGGCTTTGTAAGTCACAGATTCCAAGGACTTTGATCTTTTTCTTTGTTCCTTGGAAGAAACCACTGTGATTGATTAATGGTTGTAGCTTTTCATTTGAAAATATGTACAAAAATAAGGAATGCACTGTCAGAATGGAACAGCAGGGTCTGGATGTATTTTGTTTTCTCTGTCAGTGCATTATGGAATATTTTCCATACAGACTCTCTAAATGAGACTTAACTAGAATTCTCTTATGATACCTATTGGATTTCAGTTCCCTTCCAAAAAAGATCTGAAATGAAATTTCAATGCCACTGCTTTTTCTTAAGATATCATTTTGGGGACATTTGTCTCTAAATTTAGTTGACAAGGGGTTCTCTGTGTGTGTGCACTTGTGACTGTGTGAGCATGTATATATAGGTGTGTGTTGATTTTAAGGGAGACAAGGACAGAACAATTTCTCCACAGAGGAGCTAGCCGAGGTTCTGGCATGGTTGCATGCTCTAGCCCCTCTGCCTCTGATCACCATTATAGTGGTGATTTAATGCGATTGTGAGCCACATTAAGGTCATACTTTAAGTTCACATAGTTTTCATTTCCTCCTCAACTTCACCATCAACATATTTTACTTTAGAATCTGGGCACCATGGAGATTAGAGAGCAGTTATGTTTGTGATCTTTATTCTCAAACTGATCTTGGTCAGTTATTTAACCTCTCTGAATCCCTCTTTCTTCTTTTGTGCCACGTGGGACTTCTCCATAGTGCATTCAAAATGTTACCGAGGAAACTGGTATGAAAAGCAGGTGTTTCTGCAAGCAGGGATGATTGTCAGGAGTAGTTGTTGCTGAGATGTGAGCCTGGGACACAAGGCAATGAGAAGCTTTGGATAATGTGCTTTCCAGTTCTTTTCCTTTCATGTTTGGAAACTATTATCCTCTTTGAGCTTTGCTTTTCTTACCCATAAATTGTAATCATAACCCTACCTGAGAGGTTTGTTGAGGAGCCCAAAGGCTGGGGTCATCTGACGTTTCTTCATGAATCATTATGTGCAATCCAAAGGAGATAGTTCAGCATTCCTGATTGATGATGCAGAGGAATAAAAAAAATTCAGTGTCATGTGTGTTTAGTGCAGTGATTAAAATAAATTCCAGCTTTGCCCTGTGACAGGGTTTCCCCACTTTTTATTCTGTGTGATTTTGAGAAAGTTATTTAACTTCTTTCCACTTTTCAGATCTGTTTAGGTGGGATAAAGAATACAATGTCATTCAATGTTAGTGGGGGCTAACATCATGTGTGTTAATGTGGCAGTTAAAGTGTGTATCCCCTTTGGCCATGTGATAGAATTTCTACATTCTTTACTCTGTGATTTTGAG